GCTCGGAGTGCTTACCGCTGTCAGCGAAATGTCACTCGCTCTCATGAGCAATTGGTAAAATACATCTACCACATGGAGTGTACTGTACTTCGTGCAGCCCACCATGTTGTTCAGAAAAAACATCCTTTCTAGGAATTGGCGTTTGTGCCGGAATGATGGCAGAGCTAAGCTTATTGTGAGCATGGGCGATACGCCACTTACCGTTTGGTTTCCGAACACAAAACGTGGGTGTCGAATGAGGAGACTTGCTCTCACATACCATCCCTGCGTCGCGCTTCGCACGGAAAAAGGCGTCAATGACGTCGCATTGCTCCTTGGGCAGGGGCCATTGGTGTGTTACGCAGTATTTGGTTCCCGAAACTAGGTTGATCTCATGTCGCACAGTTCGGTCCGGAGGTAGGACCGAAGGCGGGTCTTTGGAGACGACGTCATGAAATTCCTTTACCGAAGGATAGTACGGATCCAAGGGATTCCGTAGGATTGACGATTCACTTCGTGCGTTCATCATTCTCTTGGTGTCCTCCAAGACAGCTTCATCCAGAAGCGATGACGAGTTTATCTCGTCGCCCGGTCGTACAATGACCACTTCGGCCAAATCGCTTTGCAGTGGATAACGTGCCACTCCACGCGCTTCAGAATGGGCGTGGCCAAGATGCCTCGTTCTCTGTCCGACCACGCAATCAATGGCATGCAGCGAATGCTTCACAACGAGAGCAGTGCTCAGTGGTTTACGCGCCACTCAACACGCATCTGAAGGGCCGTGCTCAAGATTCCTCGGACTCTGTCCGAACATGTCACGCATGACATGCAGCGACTGCTTCGATACTCGAGCAGCTCTCAGTGGTTTACGTGCCACTTCACGTGCATCACGTGGGCCTCGCCTTCGAAGCCTCGGCCCTTGGCCGACCATGTCACGCATGATGCACCAACTGCTTCAAAACTTGAGCAGCGCTTAGTGGGTTACGTGCCACTCCACGATCAGCCCGCCAGCCATACTCTGGACTCCTGTCCAATTCACCGTTGGTTTCTACCAGCTCGGACATTCCAATATCTAGCACGTTGACCGTCTCGGTCCAGTGCTCTCGTCAATAGCGCTTTTGTTTCCTAGCAGAGTGGGTTCATGACTCACCAAAGCTCCACCACGAAACATGCGCGTAACGCCTTAGTACTTTGACCTCAAATTAATCCTTGCTTCATGGTGTTCCAATCATGTCATCCCTACGATGACGTCATACCTTGCATCCAAATCTGAGACTAGACATCATTCCACGCTATCAAAGTCAATGAACTTGACTCCGAGGTCTGCAGGGACCTTCGGGACCGTGACTCGTGTCCCCGTCGCTAGGCGAACAGTGACGATGTCACCCAACCGCACCTTAAGCGCCTCAGCATACAGCTGACTTCTTCCCATCGTGGGGCGTCGAGCATAATTGCCCGACGCCCCAGAATCGATGAAGATCTTTCATGGCTTCTCGAAACCCTTTACGGTCGCCTCCAGGGCCCTGCTTGCACATACGTTCCATGTTTTAGAGCACGGAGCTCTTCGAGGCTGGGCCCTGTTGACCTATACCTCCCTGAGGCTCAACAGAGCTCAGTTCTTCCCCAATAAGTCACCCCGCGCCTACTGGGTGCTGTCGTTTCCCCGCGACGAACCAGACTGGTAGGCGTTGGGGCGATGGCTCGAAGAACTTGAAGCGCCTTGCGCAGGGGTCAACCGTTCCGAAGATGACGGGTGTCTCCACAAACAAAACACCGTCGTGTGCTTGTGTGCTGCCCGGTAGCAAGGAGCTCTGCTTCCTCGTCCTCAACATAGCC